GGCAGGCAGAACAGGTGGGTCCTATTAGCTCCAACCCAGGAGTATAAAGGGGCTGGCATGCCTCTGAGGTAGTGAAAGCTAGTGGCTAGGGCATTAAAGTGGACTGCAAGGACCTGGGTTCAATTCCTTGATTGGCTACTGAATTACTGTGTAATATGTGGTAAGTCACTTCACCTCTCAGGTCTCTGTTTCCCTTCCTGCCCTTTGTCTTTCTTCCTGTTTACAGTGTCAGCTCTTCAGGGTATGCATTGTCTCATGCTATGTGTATGTAGAGTGCTTAGCATAATGGGCACTTGATCTCAGTTGGGTGCCATGGGTGCTACCAATACAAATAATAATAATTAATTAATAATCAAAGACAAAGGGAACTAGTGGCAGGGATAGAAAGTTCCAGGAGGAAACAGCCAACTTTAGGCTGAACTTTGTGCATCCTGCGATTCCTTGATAATTGTCTTGCAATGATTCTTGTCTCAAATGTGCTCAATATTGCAAGGAACAAGATGGTGTTTCTCACTGTCAGCCCTGCAAACTCAACCTGGTATCTGTGAGTCCAGCTGCGGTCTTTCCTCCTCTTGCATCATCACTTGGTTCTGCAGGCCAAATCAGACCCTCAGTGACCGTATGCAACCCCGCAGTCATCAGTACCTTTGCTCAGATAGAACTGCCGAGAACTAAGTAAACACTTCTGTTGAACGGTTTCAGAGTAGCAGCCGTGTTAGTCTGTATCCGCAAAAAGAACAGGAGTACTTGTGGCACCTTAGAGACTAACAAATTTATTAGAGCATAAGCTTTCGTGGGCTACAGCCCACTTCTTCGGATGCATATAGAGTGAAACATATTGAGGAGATATATATATGCACAACCCCTTTCACTCGAGTTGGTTCTGCAGGGCAGGGAGGAGCAAAAATCAGTATTTGGTTCAATTCAATGAGGGTTTATGGCATGACGAGCTCTTCAAGTGTTGCCAAAGTGTAAATGCGACAGGCCCTTCCAGTCTCTGTTAAGCTCCACCCAGAGACAGAGCTATACAGTGGGTGGGGTTTGATCCCCTGTGTCCATTTGTCATTCTTGGTCTAGTGCAGGGGTCGGCAACCTTTCAGAAGTGCTGTGCCGAGTCTTCATTTATTCACTCTAATTTAAGTTTTCGCGTGCCAGTAATACATGTTAACGTTTTTAGAAGGTCTCATTCTATAAGTCTATCATATATAACAAAACTATTGTTGTATGTAAAGTAAATAAGGTTTTTAAAATGTTTAAGAAGCTTCATTTAAAATTAAATTAAAATGCAGAGCCCCCCGGACCTGTGGCCAGGACCCGGGCAGTGTGAGTGCCACTGAAAATCAGCTCACGTGCAGGGCCGGCTCAGGCATTTCTGCCGCCCCAAGAAAAAAAAAAAAAAAAA